GCTATATCAGTCACTGAATATAAACAAGATATTCTATTAGTGCTCAATAAATTAACAACATACAGTAAAAACACACAGAACTCTAACTATGTGGATTATATGTAGAGAGGTTCTTCAAATCAGAGGTTCTGAAACTCAAAACAATACCCATATTTCAAATTCTAAATATATTGTGAATGGATCAGTAAGTCAGGCAATGGCTTCACTCATGCTATTTTTGTTTCCATTGCTATTACTGCTGGAAGGGTTTACAAGGGCTCACTGCCAGTTTAGAACACAGTTAAAAAATATTTCAGTACAAACCAATTTATTCCTAAGAAATACAAACCTACAAAGTTATTCAATTATCTTTATTCACAAAATGTCAATAATGTGCAAAAACATTCAGCAAAAGATGGATAAGGAGCAGCTATTCTCTGTGAATTGTAATTATGATCTCTTTCAACCTTGATTACACTTAAAAAATGTTTATCTTTTTTAAGCAATAAAGATAACAACTAAGCAAAATTCTGGCCCAAAGAATTTCCTAAAAAAAGGAAGAGGAAAGAATTCATAAAGGAGGGATACAGAAACTCTAGCAAGGCCTATGTGTAACAATCAAATCCACAATCTAAAAGCTGGTATTAGATTTCCTTGAAGATATAAATAAGTATTTTTGCTCAGGCATGTAACATTAAAGGAGGCAACGGACATAGAATGCAGGCGACCAGAAAGGGCCACGTTTTGTCTGTGACTTGTTCGGGTCTGCAAACAATAATTATTTGAACAGTCAATGTAGTTGCTTCGATTAGGAAAACGCGTCCCTGGTTAAAATCAGACTTCACAGTTAGGTCCTACTAATCACAAAAACTAACTGAACTGATACTGTTGTATAAAAGCAAATTAATGACAGTCACACACCAGTATTTTAAAAAAACTAATTTTAGTAGTTTTGAAAGAAGAAGCCTTGAAAGAAGAAGTTTTGAAAGAAGAGATGTGGGTTTTCAACATTTAAATAAAAAAACAAAAATAACCAATAATAAGGCAATCACCACTACATAATATATAGTCTTTCTAGTACAAAGGAAACAGATATTCATGAAAGTGACCCATTTTAAAAACACAATTTACACGCACACACACCCCTAAATTCAGAAATTTCAAATACGTCCTTTTTTAATGAAAACACTTATGAAAGATAGCATTCAAATTTCCAGTTGCATCATTGTAGGCCCACCTGCCTAAGATATTCAAGACTCCTTTAAACATCTTTGGTGGCTTGTTAAGAGAAATTTAACACTCCGAGCCTTAAACTTATTCCAAAATCTGCTGACCAGACAGACAAATAATAGATCAACCATTACCTTAGAGAAACACATTTTATTTATTCTGCTTTATACTGCCTGTGATGCAGACAACTAAAAATATGGCAGAGTACTGTACCATTTAAAACGTGAATAATAGTCACAACTTTTGTCCTTCAGTATTGGAATTTTTGACAGTGACCAAAATGAAAGGAATTAGAATTTAGTTTGAAAAGGAGATGAAAAATTATGTGTGTATTAATGGCTTGGCAGAAGAATGGCCCTTTCAAATATTAAAAAGATTTGGTGAGTTGTCACAAGAATTTTCAAGACCTAAATTCAAAAGTTAATAGATGGGGCAAGTTAAGGAAGTAACAATGGGTTTTCTCAAAAACTGTGGGAAGCCATCTGACAGAAGCAAATAGAGACAGACAGGTTATAATCTTAGGAAGGCTCAAAAGTAACCTAAAATACTCTATCAAGTTTGGCTCACAAGTTAGAGTTGAGAATAAAGCACAGCAATTCTACCACATTCCCAGGCATTTTAAGGGTCACTCTAAGATAGACTAGTTTAAAAATATGATGAAAATGTCTAACAGGAAGATCCACTAATATGTAGAAAATAATACATGGAATCACTACTTCACAATGGAACAATTTTAAAAATCACTAATCAGTCAAAATAAAAAGCACAAACTTGTCCAGACTAATTTAAGGCAGACCCAAAGAGAAATTCGGAATTATTTTTTAAAAAGCTGTTTGCAAAGAATATGTTTGCTTTAAGTATTCTATCTTCTTTTAAACACTACAATGCCAACCTAAAAGAACAGACAGCCCACATTCTCTTCGACTTTGCTTTATTCATTGAAATAGATTCCAAGGCAAATGATCTCTCCTTTAGCACGGGGCATGCTCTGATCAAGGCAAGACACACAGCTTCTTACTGGAGTTCAGGGAATCACAAAGACCCTATTTAAAAGAAGCATGCATATGGATCACTTCTGTGATTATATTTATTTAAAACCCATAGTCTCCAACTGAGAATTTGACAAAATGAATTTTTACAGCACGGAAAGCTAACCAAAATATAATGTCATGTAACACTATTCATTCTTTTCTGTATTACAAAAATTCTATCAGTGAAATTTTGTTTGTAAAATGCAATATACGTTTTATCATCTTAGATAAAATATCTACAGCCTCGGTAGTGGTTAAATTGCAGCTATAAAGGAAATTGTCCCGAGATAAATGGTTTCCCTATGAGAAGGTTTCACTGCTACACTTCACCTTAGGACAATAAATCAAATTAACTGCACCTTATCCTCTGTCCAATGACATCATCAGGTTGACCACATCTTGGGAATTGGGTGCAAAAACATACGCTATTTAAGGCATGAAATCTTATTAGTGCTTTTTGTCCATCCGACCTCATGCTTCAGATCTTTGAAGCAGTCATTCACCTGAACGTTATCACGAAAGCTACAGATTTTTTTCCTGCTGCATTCAGGGCCTGCCAACTGGGGGCGAAAGAAAAATGGTGAGAACGGATTATGTGAAATTGGCTTACTTTTAGCCCATCAATCTAGAATTGTGTTACAAATTAAACTGCAGACTAATGTCTCACCAAACATGTAGCTAGCACCTGACCTCAATGGGCCATACCGTAATTTCAAAGGATTAATATATAGGTGTTAACATTTCTGTTATTTTCCTCAACTAGCAGACCAATGAGAAGCAACACTGTTTTTAAAATAACTGTACAAAATAAGACTGTAAAACTATACAAAATAAAAAAACTTTACCAAGGGAAAGACAAAAAATCAAAATCACTGTTTCGTCTCTACAGCAAAAGTCAGTCTGCCTTTAACAGACCAACTTTCCTAAATCTACATAATACATAAGATTAATTCTGCCAACTTAAATAAGAGGGGTCGGTGTGCTGGAAGAGGAGTAAGTTCCAAGGTCAGGGTAGACACATGCCTGTGTTTCTTCTTCCGTTTTCACTCATTTAACCATGGCACAAACACGCAAAGGAAACACAGCCCACTTCTGTTTTCAGGAGTGCCACAATTAAAATAAGCTCGCCTACGGCAGGGATAGCACGACCTTAATAATTATCATCTGCCCCATTTTAAATCAGAATGAAGACACAGAAAAGGGAACGCAGCACAGGCCTTCTGGAAGTGTTAACTAGAATTCCTAAAATGTACAAGTAGAAAAAACTACGGGTTTTACAAATACTGCAGATCTTTACAAATGTTTAACGGGGTGGGGGTGGAAGGTTAGAAGCCAATAGCCTGGGGAGAACCGTCCCCAAAACAAAGTAAGTTAACGTGTACGAAACCAAAATAGGTGTCACTCGCCTCTGAAAACGAGCAGACTTTCTTTCCCTAGGCCTGACATTACTGCAAAGTGTCAGAAAGTCTTTTTATGAGAAAACAAAACACGACACAGTTGGTGCTTTAGCTAGGAACTGTCTAATGCCGGTGGGGCCCCAGGAGGGTTTGTTTGGCCCGCGGAGGGCCGGTCTGTGTGTGGACGCTGGTGGGGGGAGTCATTTTGGTTATTAGTAAATAAATCAAGCTGCAGAGAGCGTGAGGCCTAGGCAACTGCTGGAGCAGCCGAGGCCTCGCTCCCCCCCTTCCCCTCCCAGCACGGCCTGGGTTTGATCTCACAGCCCTGCGGATCGCCAAGGAAAAAAAAAAGAATCATATCGAACCACAAAAGCACATGGGGCGAATGTAAAATATAAACACGGCGTTGGGCTGTGAGTGGCTGTTATTAAAGGTCTGAATTACTAAACATGAGAGGCGGGGAAAGTCAGGCGGCCATTTCAATAATATAAACCTCCCCGAATTAGACATTATTCAAATGAGAGAGGTTCGGCTGAGCGGCGCGGAGGGGACCCGGCGCCCGGCGCGCACCGCCACCGGCCGGGAGGGGACCCCGCTCGAGCCGCTCCCGCCGGGGCGCGCACCCCGGAAGACCGGCGGCTCGTCGGCCGCCCTGGCGGGGCCCTCGCGCCGACCCCCGAGGCCTGGGAGCGCGGCCCCGATGAGCCTTCGCGGGCGCCTCCGCCGACGCCCGGGACCGCGGCCCGCGGGGCACAGGCGCGTCCGGGCCAGGCAGCGCACGGAGGAGCCGCCCGCCCGCCCCGGGAACTTCCCCCGAGGCCGAGGCGGGGCCCCCGCGGCCGCGCACCCCTGCCCGCAGGGTCGGGCCGCCACACGGGCACCCGCAGGCGCGGCCGAGGTTCCGGGGCCGTGACCCGAGCGGCGGCGGGAGGCTCCCCCGGGCGGCGCCGGGCCCCCGCCCCCCGGGCACGCGTGCGGCTGGCCGGCGGGGCTCGGCGGCCCCCACCCGGCTTTGTGCTCCCGCCGCCGCCGCACGCCCCCAGCCCGCGCCCGCCGCTATGAATATGTAAGCCGCCCCCATTGTGCTTCCCGGCCCCGCGCGGCGCGACGGCGGGCCGGGGGCCTGGGCCCGGGGCGAGCGGCGGCCGCAGCCCCCTCGCCCGCTCTGCCCTCCGCCCGGCCGCCGCCAGCCTCCGTGCCCCTCCGCGCGGCGCCCGGCGGGGGCTCGGCGCCGCGCGGCCCCCGTCTGCCCGCCGTTAATTATAATAATCCTGAGTACTAATAAATTATGCTAAGTGGCGGGGGGGCCGCCGCAGCCGGGCTGGAGTATGAATATGAATATGTAAAATGCCGTAATGATTACCTGCTGCTGCGGCCGCCGCGGCCGAACTCTCATCTTGACTCGCTGCTCCTCCGTCCGCCATTTTGAATATTTTAACCAAAATCGCCCGGTCGATAAACCCTCCCTCGCTCCGGCTCCCCTCCCCCCGCCTGCCCTCCGCGCCTCCTCCCTCCTCGCCGCCCCTCCCGCTCCTTTCTCTCCCCGGGCGCGCGCCAGGGGGCGTGCGAGGCCGTCCCCTCGGAAGACCCCACCTTTTTGGGCGCCGTGCGCACGCGCCTCCCGGCCGCCGCGGCTCTTCCGTAGCTGAAGCGCCCTCAACCTGCCAGTCCTCCCATGGCTTCATGTTTTCCGCCTGGGCTCTGCACATGCGCGGTATGCTCCATGTGAAACGCAGTCGGCGCATGCGCCCCCCCCAACCCAGCGCTGGGGTTCCCCCAAGTGTCGCCTGGTCGTGAGGTGGAATGGGGGGCCCTCGTGCCTTCTCAGAGCCCCTGCTCCTCCCGCCTGCCCTGTGGCCGGCGGCGTTATGAGCAAGGGCAGGGGCTATGGCGGCCGGCGCGGGGGGGCGCAGAGAGCCCGGGCAGAGCGGGCCCGCGCCGCGGAGACGGTCACACAAAGGAGGGGCCGCCCCGCCGGGAACTTCCGGCCGCGGGCAGGTGGAGGCGGTGCCCAGGCACCTGCGGAGCCCGCGCGCGCCGCCCGCTCTCGGTTTGGGTCAGAGCGGGGCCCGCCCCCAGCCCCGGAGGGCAGCGCTACCCACCTTGGGCCCCTGCCAGGCCTGCGCAGCGCCTCCCCTCCGCCCGCCCGGGGACGTCTTCCAAAACCCAGCGGAGCGCCGGACGCCGGTGACCTGATAACAGAAACGTCGAACCCGGCAGCAGCTTCATCATGAACTTGATCTCGCTGTTTCTCGGTGTCAATACGATAGTAGACGTTTTCCGTTGTTCAATACCTGTCTTTGTAACGAGTCCTCATGGCCTAAGAGTTCTGATTTTTAATGGTGAATTTCCCTGAGCAAGACCCAAGTCTATTTTACAAATTCTTAAATAGAGCCCTAAGATCCCAGTTTTTTGAGAGAGAAAGAGTAAAGAAAATAAGTTCAATGCTAGTGTGTCTGAAAGAGAGAAATTACGACTGTACAGTTTAAATTGGGGATAACTGCAGATTCTACACTAAAGAAAAACTGATGTCTAAGAGACAGTCATCGGTTATTAACCGCTAAAGTTTTCATCGCGGATCTTCGCTTTCTCACCGAATTCCTTACACTGCTAACAGGGTTAAAGCTGTTGTCAGTGGCAGCCTGTAAATTTGGGGTGGGATTGGTTTACTTACGGTAATTAAGCCCTAGGGTGTATGCATGACTGTGTAAACCAAATAATTGGGCTACCCTTAATCTAATTATTTCAAGGCATGCCAACCAATAGCCAGTTAAGAAAATGCAAATTTTAATCGCGTTACAATTAACCTGGAAATAACAGCCCAAGTTCTATTCACCAACATTACTATATTGGAAGACTCGGAATCAACCCATTGGCAATGAATTTGAAATTTGAAGCAAAAAGACTCAAAATACCCTTACTTTAAATTACTATCTTCTGTTTAATCCTTGTTTTGCTCTTTCTTTCAAAAAATAAACACCACTTTCAGGAAGTAATTGAAGCCATGTGCTATTCATTCTTTATTTTGTTTCCATGAAAAGAAATTTTCGTGGAATAAGTTTTTTTATTTAAGGAAGAAATAGCTCCATAAGAGAAATAATTTAGAGAAAAATAAAATAGACTCTATCAATGATTAATTTTCCCCTTAATGAAAATATTTATGTTTCCAAATGAGTGCCAAGGGGCTAGCCCATTGCCTGGGCATGGCAGGTACTCATAAATATTTGTTGAATACAAAATAATGAATAATACAGTTATATATGTTAGGATTATTTTAAAAATTGATAATGTCATTTATTCAACAAATATTTATGAACATCTGCATTCTGCCGTAAGCTTTACTAAGTCAAAGGATAGATAGAAAATGTGTAAGTCACTGCTTTGACCTCAGCAAACTCATGTGTATTAACTCCTTTTTTAATCCTTAACTCTGGGAGGTAGGAATTCTGTTTATCCGAATTTTCCAGGATAGGGAAATTGACATGTGGAAACATTACACAACTTGCCTGTATTGCCTGGAGTCAGGGTTCTCCAGAAAAACAAAATCAATAGGAGGTATGTATTTATGACTTTAACTGTATATATGAAGGAGTTTTTATAAGAAATTGGCTCACACAATTAAAGAGGCTAAGAAGTCCCAAGATCTGGAATCTAAAAGGCCTGAGAGCAAGGGGAGCCAGTGAAGTCCTGGTCTGAGTCCAAAGGTCTGATCTAACTATATTCCTTCTATACCATTAATACCCATTCCCATACAGGTACCCTAGACATCTGTATAAATTAGAAAACTCAAGTAGTCCTTCTAGAGTGTAGTGTACCTGCTCATGAGTCATAGCCCACCCAGTCAGTTCATAATGGACAGCTCAGGTCTCAAGGTAATTTGGTGGCCCATGGTTAAGCATTCAGACTCTACTAAGGTCCAGTAGCTGGCCAAGAACTAGTTCTCAAAAGGAGTAGTTATCCTTAGAGAATGCAGGGCTTTACTCTAAAATCCTGTCTGAGCTGCGACACACCTGTTGGGACCTGCCAAAGGCTCTCAGCAGCATGTCTGTCAGCCACTGAGCAAACACCATTGCATCGGCTGGATCCTAGGGCCTGAGCAGCCGAGCTTGCAAGGCACCTGACCTAACGCAGAGCCTTCTCTCTCTCTGGGCCTCATTCAAAACGAACAGCTTTTTGGGTCACTTGTTAAATGGATTGGAGTAACATCCAAATGAGGAACCTGTTGTCCCCCAGATCCAGAGAGGCCCAGTAGGCACTGTGCTTTTTGGTTGTGGAGGGGCCAGATGCAATGACTTATCCTCTACTTTAGGAATATCTTGACATGCCCCACATCACTGGACCCCCAGAAATTTCACTAAAGTAAAAGTCCCCTGAATTTGTGTCAGATTTATTTCCCACCCTTCCACATGCAAAAATCTTACCAATAAGATTTTAGTTGCTACTTCTTGCTCACAAGGTCCAATCAGCATAATGTCATCAATGAAATGGACAGGTGTGATAGTGGACCGCATCTCCAGAGAGAGGAGATCAAGATGCCTACAAACTGCATTATGACAGGTTTGGATAGTTGATACACCTCTAAGGTAAGATAGTGAAGGTACCCTGTTGGCCTTACCAGCTGAAAGCAAAAAGCTTCTGGTGGTATTTGCCAGATCAATAGCTGCGTACCCGTTTCCAGGGGATGTGTTAATTTACACAAGCAATGAAACCGCATCTGTGCAGCAGCTGCAAGTGGAGTCCCCACTTAGTTACACTTACAACTCGTTATCCGCTATCATTGTCCAAGATCCATCTGTCTTCTGTACAGGCCAAGAATGTGTTGGGAATGACCACCCCTGCATTGATGGATTTAGTGGATTTGAAATTCCCTTCAGGAATGCCTTGTTGCTTTTGGTTTTCTATTTTCTGAGACAAGGGCTTCTACTTGGCCTTTCCCACTGTAACAGCCCTCACCGCATAGGTCCGAGAACCAGTGTGGGGGTCTACCAGCTGCTTCAATTTTCCAGGATGGGAGAAACTGAGGCGTAGAAGTGTTAAGTAGCTTGCCCAGTGTCATACCACTATTAAACAGTTCAAACACAGGTCAAGAACTGTGCTCTTAAACATAACACTATGCTGCTTGCTTTATTTTAATTGAAATATAGTTGATTTACAATACTATATCAGGTATACAACATAGTGATCTGATGATTATATACACTACTAAATACTCATCACAGAAAGCACTGGGACCTTCATCTCCTTTTCCTCCATGTCTTACACTATACCCAGAAGTTTTTCCAAGGAAGATTTTGACCCCACCTCAGATATTTCTATGGCCCTTCTTGAACAGGTGGAGAGGGCTTCTATTAAATTAGCGACTATATCCTGATCACACATCTTAATCATACAAGGATGTCAACCCCCCCTGACTGTAGCTGATGGCAGTACTTTATGTTCCTTAAGAGTATTTGTACTTCTCAGAGAATGTACACTGAAATCTTTACAAGTCAATATTGATCAGAAAGCTCAACATCATTGATGGAGAACTATTTGATGAATACACAGCCCATTTTCCCCTCTGGTTCAGGGTCAGCAAATTCATGACACATCTCTACTACCATCTGTTTCAAGCCTCTGGCCAACTTCTTTAATCCATAGCCCTTTCCTATGATGAGCCTGGACTTTTGCTCAAACATGATTCTTCCCAGCCAGTGCTTCAGGCAGTCATGGGCATCTTATCGGTGCTGGCATGCAGGATGAAATCCACTTGTAATTTCAACTCTAGACACTCTTAAAAGCCAAACTGTCAGAAAGCCATGCACTTGAAATACATCATTTTGTCCCCAGGTAAGATTCTTTCCTAGAATCGTGCTTTGGATTTATGTCATCAGCCTACATTACAATCATAAGGAAAAAAAAAACAACTTGAGAAATGCATCATATTCACTGTAGGAGAGTTTTTGGAGTGTCTATGTTCTTTCTGAAGATTCTTTCTTAATATCTGAAGGGCAGAAATTAAGTAATTTGCCCAAGTTGACCCAGTAAGGGTCAGAGCCAGGAGTTAACCCGGTGGTTGCTGGATCCCCTGTTCTCTCTGCCTTTCTTCTCTAGACCCCCAGATTCGTTCCCTGCCTCGGCTGCCGTCTGCATCCCTAACTTGCCTTCCTCCTACACGTAGACATTCAGCCCTTTGCTTCGTTTCCAGGAGTTTTGGTGCCTATTCTTTCCCCCGCGCTCATTAATGCCATTTCTGCCCTTCCTCTCTTCTCCTGCTTCTCCTATCCTTCCTCATAAGCTTTTCCTAGATAAACTCTTTCCTGCATTGTCTCATCAACCCATTATAGGCTGACATCTGCTCCAATCATTTTCCTAAAATTACTTTATTGGAAGGCATTCATGACCTCCAGCTGCCGAATCTGATAACACCTCCACTCCTCACGTTGCCCCCTACCTCTCAGCAAGCTGACAATGCTCATCGTTCCTTCCTCCTTAAAACCATCTCTGACTCTGGCTTCAGTGACAAATTGCTCTCCAATTTCTCCTCTTGTCTGCCTGACCACGTCTCCGTTTCCCTCATTGGCCCCTCTTCTTCCCA